AACGGAGCTTACTTAGTACCCATTTTTCCTGCTAGGTGAGCACCGAACAACTCACTCTGAGTTAGTGCACCCAGTGGCATCTCCTGGGAGGTTCTCTGTGGTCATAGTAATTTTTTATAAATCATTTTATTGAGGGCTCGTACAACTCATATCACAATCCATACATCCATCCATTGTGTCAAGCACATTTGTACATTTACTGCCATCATCATTCTCAAAACATTTTCTTTCTACTTGAGCCCTTGGTATCAGCTCCTCGTTTTTCCCCCTCTCTCCCCATGCCTTCCTCCCTCATGAACCCTTGATAATTCATAAATTATTATTATTTTGCCATGCCTTACACTCTCTGATATCACCCTTCACCCACCTTTCTGTTGTTCCTCCCCAGGGAGGAGGTTATATGTAGATCCTTATAATTGGTTTCCCTTTTCTACCCCACATTCCCTACTCCCTCCTGGTATCACCACTCTCACCACTGGTCCTGAGGGGTTCATCTGTCCTGGATTCCCTGTGTTTCCAGTTCCTATATCTGTACCAGTGTACATCCTCTGGTTAGCCGTATTTGTAAGGTAGAATTGGGATCATGATAGTGGTGGGGAGGAAGTATTTAAGTACTAGAGGAAAGTTGTATGTTTCATAGTTGCTACACTGCACCCTGACTGGCTTGTCTCCTCTCTACGATCCTTCTGTAAGGGGATATCCAGATGGGCTTTGGGTCACTACTCGGCACTCCACATCATTCACAATGATATGATTTTTTGTTCTTTGATGCCTGAAACCTGATCCCTTCGACACCTCATGATCACACAGGCTGATGTGCTTCTTCCATATGGTTTTGTTGCTTCTCAGCTAGATGGCTGGCTTGTCTCCTCTCTACGTTCCTTCTGTAAGGGGATATCCAGATGGGCTTTGGGTCACTACTCGGCACTCCACATCATTCACAGTGATATGATTTTTTGTTCTTTGATGCCTGAAACCTGATCCCTTCGACTCCTCATGATCACACAGGCTGATGTGCTTCTTCCATATGGTTTTGTTGCTTCTCAGCTAGATGGCTACTTGTTTATCTTCAAGCCTTTAAGACCCCAGATGCTATATCTTTTGATACCTGGGCACCATTAGATTTCTTCACCACCTTTGCTTATTCACCCGCTTTGTCTTCAGTGATCGGGTCACAGTAAATTTTATCATGAAAGCAATTTCACTTGAACCTCGTTTTTTTGTGATGGCCGATTTAAGAGAACAGCGCGTGTCTGTGGAATTTTGTTTCCTGCTTGGGAAAAATGCTGCAGAAACTGTTGTAATGTTGAAGATAGCTTATAAGGACAGCACTATGTGAAAAACTCCAGTATTTGAGTGGTTTTTCTCATTTCAAAGAAGGTGAAATATTGATTGGTGACAAATCTCGCTCTGGACACGCGTGAACTTCTTAACTGTATGAAAATGTCGACTCATCGTGCATGTGGAGTTCATTCCACCAGGTCAGACTGTTAATCAAGCTTTATATTTAGAGGTTCTGAAAAGATAGGCTAATAGTGTGTGACAAAAATTCCTGATTTGTGGCAGTTGGGGGACTGGTTTTGCCACCATGACAATGAACCTGCTAACACAGCCATCTTAGTGCACCAGTTTTTGGCAAAAACCAGTATGCCTCTCTTGTCCCACACACCTTACTCACCTGATCTCACTCTGTGAAACTTCTTTTTGTTTTCATGAATGTAGAGAGACCTGAAAGGGCAGCGATTTGACAATGTAGAAGAGGCGAAGAAAAAAATAAGAGTTGCTGTCAGCCATCCAAACAGATGAGTTTGAAAAATGTTTCCAAGAATGGAATTGCAGATTTGACAAATGTATTAAGTGCAATGGAGAGTACTTTGAAGGTGATGAAGTTGTTTTGTAAAAAAAAATTAAACACATAACTTTGGGGAAAAATTCATTTATTTTTAATTTTTAATTTTTGGTACCCCACCGTATACCTTGGCCCTACTGATTATGGTTCAAAGGACAGTCTAAAATTTTATCTTGTTGTGCTCTGCTTTGTATAAATATAAATTCCTTTGCTATCAATCTGATCAGGATACAACTGTATTTGAAGCGAAACCCTTAGGGGCATGTTCCAAACATAAAGGCAGAAGGAAATGTGAACAGGAGCAGAGGGGATGTGGACTCGGGGGAATTCCATGTATACTGAGGTGATATAGCATATGTGTGTGCCTTGGAAAGGGCAGATGCTCACAGTGAATTCAACAGGTGGCAATTAAGGACCTAGACAGTAGTTGGGATCAGAAATCAGAGGTCCATGGCCGTCTGGATGGTTCTGGAAACCAGATCCTTCTACAATGAATTCAGTGGTGATCCCCACTATGTGAACTTCCAGTGTTGAGTCCAGGATGTGTGTGTGTGTATGTGTGACACTGAAAAAGAGAGGGTGATATATGGAGAGAGGATAGACACAAAGACAAAGAGAAACACAGAGAAAGATAAATAGAAAACCAGAGAGAGAGAGAGAGCATCTGAAAGAAGCAAATCTTTTTGGAGCTAAAAGGTAGATGAACCCTTTGAAAAGTTGGGGTTTCTTAACTATTATTTTCATTCTTCTTCATCATTTTTGTGTTAGCAGCATAGGAGTCTCTACATTTAGGCTTTGAAGAAATGGGGGCAAAGGAAGTGCTTCCTTCTCCTGGTCTGCATCAGAGCTGAAGCTGCTGCTGCTACCACGTTTCTGTCCAGCCCAGGTTAAATATCAGCTAGATTAGGGCTCCCTGTCCAAACATGAAACAGCTGATGTCCATCCATCCTCATGTAAGTAAAGGAGCCTTGGGAGTGCACTGGCTATACACTCGGATGCTAAGTGACTCCACCAGCCACTCCGCAGGAGAAAGAGGAGGGAATCTACTTCCATAAAGACTTACAGCCTTGGAACCCCATAGGACAGCTCAGCTTTGACCTCTAGGGTAGCAACCAAGCTACTGTAAGTAACACTTTAAAAAACAATTAGGTGGAAGTCATCAGGAAGAGCCTGTTTCAGCAGGATGTCATGCTCAGGTGCAAGCTCCTTGAGCCACCGATGGCAGGAAGAGCCAGCAGGAATCATGGAATGACTAATCTTTGCCATAGGAACCTAGGAATGGCCCTCAGAATAGAAGACTCTGAACAGGACAAACGTAACCACCTATTGCTATGGCTCATGGGCTTAAGCGGAGATTCCTTCTGCCTTACTGGTCTTCCCTGTAGCCCAGTTCCGGAGAGTAACCTTGTCTTAGCAAGTTTGTTTCTGACCCCCACATCGGAAGACACTCCCGGAAAAGTGAGTAAGGGCAAGAAGGTGGAACATTTTATTAGCAGGAGGTTTGGAAAGAGACAAGAAAGTTGAAGGCAGGGTCAGTGTTTCCCAAGGTTCTTTCTTAAAATACATTGCCTCTGGTTTGAAGGCCCCGACTCACTCTTAGGCCCAGGCATTCCACTTTGGGGCTACATATCCCCAAGAGTGCTTGGGAGAACAACACACTTCCCACCTACAGTTTCCACAAGAAACATCTGCTTTAGCTTATTTGCAAGTCAAAGCCATGAACTGTCACTACATCATCTTTTCCACCTGATGCATGCCATTCTGAGCTTTCACCCCTGGACTGCCTGTGTGTCTGCAAAGCTGTGAAGTGATTTTGATGATAATTTGAAGAGCCTTATATCCTAATTTATTTAACCTTCTCACATCAATAGCAAGATTCTCTGTGAGGATTCAAGGAATGACTACTCATTCATCAGATAAGCAGTGAACCTTGGAACCCAGGAAGCAAAATATAAATCTAGGCTCTCAATGTCAAAGTCATTCCCTTCTCTTTTCATCTCTTCGTTCACAGGGAACTCAGCATTATAGGAAGCAGTCTAGACTCAAAATCAGCCGACCCAGGTTGAACTTCCAGTCCTGCCAGATACTAAGTGACCTGGGTCAGTTCCCTTAACTATGTTCCCTTAACATTGCCTCCGTTTACTCTTCACCAATGTGACTAATAATACTTTCTTTGCCAATCACACAGGGTCTTATGAGGTCAGGATAGAATACTGGGGTGGGAAGGTATTCTAAAGAGCATCTGACGGTTGAAATTCCCTTTTATAGACACTACCCATATGTCTAGCTTGGACTCTTTCTGGTACAGGGAATTCACTCTCACAGAGTCCGGTGCACTGTGATAGCTCTGCCCACTCCCAAAGCCAACTCAAATTAGACTTGATGGGCTGTCTTGGTCAGAGGAGCACTCTTTGCAGCCTGCTGCTCTGGTTCAAGTGGCTGAGTTCCAGTAAGGGAGGACTTTGCCAAGGATAGGCCGGCCCATAACCTGTCACTCTTGTGACAGCAAGAATGGCTGGAGATTTTCAAGTGAGAAGGGAAAATGTTTGGTCTACAGAGGCCTGCCGAGTTCCTGAGACTCACACTGGCTGGAAGCCCAGCAGCATGTCAGCCACGGTAGGGTGAGATGTGGCCACAAAGACAGGCAAATGGGGCAGGAGTTGCCAAGGGTGCACACCCCAGTGGGAGCTGACACCTCATAAATCCTGCGAGTCCAGAGCCGGTGTGGTCTGCTATCGTGGCTCACTGGCCCTGCGTGGTCCTGACTGAGAAGTGACGAAATGATAACTAACGTGGAAGCAGCTTTCCAAAGCGATTTTGTCAGAAAGGTAGACTTCTTCCCTCCACCATCCTTGCAACATTCGTTTTCGTGGTTAGAACCCAGAGTCCTTAAGAGGTTTCCCCCCCGGGTGCATCAGAGACGTGACCTCCAGGTCACAGAACCTCCAGCCTTCAGCCACCAACTGTGTCCTTTTTCTCTCCACTTCTGAAGAGTCTTCCAGAGATGAGCCTAAGAGCATGGGGTGAAGTCTGCATGTTTAGACAACCCTGAAGAGCTCACATTGATGGCCTCTTGTTTGTGGATCTATGAAAATCAACGCTGACTTTAACGCTGATATCTCTTTCACACAGAATAGACGGACCCACTTACTTGTCTGTTACAGCCTTCATGAACTCATCTAGCAGCTCATCATAGTCTTTCCCACGCACGCGCTGGTGCTTCAGGCCGATATACAGAGGGTCTCTGAGCAGCTCCTGGAACAGACAACATCCACTACTGAGTTCCCTCTTCGGGGCTTCCTCCTCTCCCTACCCCACCCTCTTCTTCCAGCAGTTTCCTTAAGCATCCTGCTTCCTTTTGAAGGCCCAAATGTTGGGATAAAAGAGTGAGAATCTGGCTGGGGACTTAGGGGTCCCCTCTGGAAAGATCTGAAGAGTAAGCCATTTGTCTGAGTGTGAACGCCCACACGGGTCACCACTTTATGTACCAAGGTTGCTTTAAGCCAGGTACACCTCTCTCAAACACAGCCTTCCATCAGATTTTGGGTTTATTTCAGGCTTTCTCATCAGCACCTATTGACATTCTGACCCAGAGGAGGTTTTGATGTAGCGGGGACTGTTCTATGCACACTAGGTCCCTTGCCGCATCCACTAACCATTAGCTACCTCTGGTACCTTCCCGAGTGACGAGAATACATCATACTTCTGGCCATTGTGAAATGCTCCAAACAACAACATTAAGGTTGGGGGCTCGCAGTAAAAGTAGAGAAAAGGATATGGTGTCTTGGGGAAATGGAGTCATTCCACGTGGTAAGGTTTTAGGGAATCAGTTTTTGGATCTAAGTCACCATGAAAATGTGCACTCTCATCCTAAGTGCTGCTGTACGACAAAGCGTGTCAGGGGCTCTGCCGTCCAGGGTCCTCGAGTCAAGCCGCACCTCCACCACTAGAAAGCTATGTGATCCCTGTTAAGCCTTCGGATAGGGACAGACTACCAGCTGCACAGGGTGACGGTGATGACTAAAGGAAATCATAGTATCCATGAATAAAAATGTGCAATCTGGTATCCTGCTTTTGCATATATATGCATCTTCATTGGTTCAAATGACACATATATACACAGCCATCTGCACAAAAGTGTAGGAGCTGAGTTTTAAGTGAAAAAAGCAGGATATGAAATCACACAAATGTCATAATTACAATGATCTGAAACATACATGTACATTCTGGAAAGGCAAACACAAAAGTGAAAAAAATAGAATAGCTTTTGACATTTGTGGAAAATATTCACACTTTCGTTTCATTTAGTATTCATTTTTTTCAGTTCTTACAGTGATTAAAAGGGTACATGGAGTGCTATAATTTTCGGCATTTCCAAGTCAGTGGTATCCCTGGTACAATTAGGCAGCATAGCGTGTGCTCTGGACTGTTGGCTGCCGATGCTGCTTCTGGGGCACATTCATATTCTCCAGCAGTACTGAAAAATCCTGGGATTTTCCAACAATCTCTCAGTTCGCCAGCAATAAAGATCAAGGGCCATTAGTTAAGAGTGAGTATAAAAGCTATAAGCAGTCCTTATAATATATATATATATACATATATATTTTAAAAACTTGTAATTTAATAATAAAATATTTAATGCCCCAAATTCTTAAACAATAAGAATATGTACCCTCCCTGCCAAAGTCAGAAAGTTTCTATATGGAATTGCTGCTGAGAAAGACTTTCCTGTAAGTATTTTTATACTGCTTTCACTCATCTGAGCCTTCTAATGACCTTGACTAGTCTCATCTCTGCTCTACCAATTGGAAGGTGGGCATTTAAAGTTTAAATAGCTGGCCCAAGCTCACACAGCCAGAAAGTGGCTAAGCTGAGAATAAGAATTTAGAATTAGAATTTAAAATAGATAATAAATATATACACAAGGGCAAGTAAAAAAGTATTGCTACCAGGGTTTATTCCACAGAAAGCTCATTTAAATAAGTCTCTGAGATCAGTGGATGGCTGCAGGCAAGCTATTTCAGTAGAATACCTGCCTTATTCTTGCTAGGATGCCTTCAAGGGAGAAAAAAACGAGAAGAATATGTTCTAGAATTGATGGCGGTGATAACTATACAACTCTTATTGATACTATTGAACTATTGAGTTGCATGACATGTAGATGAGGTGCCAATAAAACAGTTTTAAAAATGATCCTATCAAAACAGTAGCTTCTGAAGGATTCTGCCTAATCCGTTAAATTCAAGGCAAAGATGTTGGCTCAAAGGATAAAGCAACTGTTCTTTTGGAATTGCAAAAGGTGAATCTTAGCGGATTTTCTCAAAAGACATGGGACATTTATGGGGGCCTATTATACCTGATTTAAAGTCAGGAAAGGTATGGATCAGGGTTGTATCCTCTCACCATCCTACTCACACACTGTGCTGGGCAAGTCATCAGAGAAGCAGGGCTACATGAGGAAGAACTCAGCAGAGGATTGGAGGAAGGCGTGAGAACAACCTTGGGTATGCAGATGCTACAACCTTGCTTGCTGAAAGGGAAGACGACTGGAAGCATCTCCTGATCATGATCAAGGATTATAGTCTTCAGACAATCCATCCTGGAAGAAGTACAGCCAGAATCCTCCTTAGATGCAAGGATGGTGAGACTTTGCCACAGGTACTTTGGACATGTTATCAGGAGAGACTAGTCTCTGGAAAAGGACATCATGCTCGGTAAAGTACAGGGTCGGCAAAAAAGAGGACGCTCTTGGCAAGATGGACCGACCCGATGGACCCAAACATGACAGTGATTGTGAGGCTGGCACAGCACCGGCTGTTCCTTGTCTGTTGTGCATGGGGACCCCTCTGAGTCAGAACTGACCGCATGGTACCTCACAGCAACTTTATGAAGGAGCTTCAAGAAAATGGAACATTATATTGGTGACTAAAAGGCCAGGAAAGTTGTGTGGAGGAATTTCCCTCATCATGACAAGGTACTTGTTCATCCTTTGAGGGTAGCCAGGGCTCATCCTACGGGAATTTTTTCTTTTTCTTTTAAATCTTACCCCATCTAACCTACAACTCTCATCTTGCTCCTGAAGACTTCCTTTTGCTCTCAGACTCAAAGAACATTGAAAAGGAACATGACTTGAGTCCCTTGCAAGGCCAAAGTGCTGGTTTGAGATGGTGTGAGTCAAAGAGTGCTTCCAGGAAGAGTTAAAAAGATAGAAACACGTCTTTGGAAATGGATTGTGCTAGCGGGAGGATATGTTGGGAAACAATAGTCTCACATTTAACAAATGTTCCTGTGCTTTCTAAGCAATGCTTTTTGACTTACTTATGCTAAAAAATTATTTGCTTGCTTGCACTTAAAAATTAAAAGGGTGCTCTGTATCTTTATTTGCTAAATTTGACAACTTTATCAGGAGGAACAGAAGACACTTAGGAGTTGAGAGGCAGCATGCTATAGAGGAAAGGCCACCCCCTAGCTAGGCGACAATGGTCAGGATGTCCCCCAAGACTATCTCCTGGACTTGGACTCAGAAAGGACTTCGGGTTTTGTATGTGGGCAGACCAGGATTTGAATTCAGGCTCAGCCATGGCACTAGGTGTGTGACTTTGAGTAAAGTATTTAATTCCCATCTGCTTACTCTTCCCTTTCTGTCAAATGGAGATAAAATGGTCTCTACTACATACTGCAAGCTCTCTGAGAAAAAGACCTGCTCTTGATCCATCTTTGTCTCCTCAGTGATTTGTACAGGGCCAGAACATGTGAGGCCCTTAGAAATATTTAAGAGGGAAAAATATCCATGTGAATTACATGAATCATGGGACTGAGCTAAGGAGAGCAGAATCCAGACTGACAGACATCTGAGACACCATGTTCAATGAGCTGCCCAAGATCACACAGAACCTCGGTGAGAGCAGTAGTCGGAAGTTCATGGCTTTCCACAGGCTGAGAGCACGTCCAGAAGGGCGCCAGGCTCGTTCCCCGCTGAGCCCTTCTATCAGGCTAGGGTGCCTGGCACCTGATAGCACCCGAATGCTTTACCACTGTTAGTTTTAACCAGTTTCCTTTAAAATTTAATAGGTCTATGGTTATAATCGAGGCTAAGGTATTTAGCCAGAGCAGGTGAACCACACTTTCTCCTCTTCCGTGGGAGGTGACCGTTGGGTGTGCTCTCGGACTGTTTCCTTGGCTTTGCCTTCCTATGGTTTATCTCAGAGACAACATTTCTCTTCGTTCACCAGACCATTGCACTGTGGACTGAAGCTGGGAGAACAATTAACTCTCTGAGCTGGAAAAATATTTACATTGTGTAGCAAAAAATGCACTAACATCTAAGTCAGAGAGCATCTGCCGTTCGGGACGGATGTCATGGGAATGGATTCACACTGTAGACTCTTAATTATGGGGCATATAATCCCTAGACTTTTTTGAGGGGTGGGTGGGGACTCAGTCAAACCCAGGAGAAAGTAAAGCTCATGTGTCTGAAGCGTGCGTGCCTCAGAAGGCACCCTGTAGAGAATGCGGAATACTGATTAGTTGAACTGATGATACTCTTACAAGGTGGAAGTGGCTCTGTCCCTGTGACTGACCCCAGTGTCCTCACCAATCCATTCACCTCCCCCAGCTCCATTTTTGTTTCTGTGTTGGTCTCTCCAAGGAGACCCAACACCCTGCTCCACCAGCTTTCTCAGCACAGCATCTCCTTGTGGTGTGAATTCAGAGGCTCAAGGCTTCTGCTGGGAGAAGACTTCCAGGGCAGGAGAGACAGGTCCATGAGCTCTCCCCGCAGACTTGTAGCCCAGCATGGACTGAACACTGGGCTTTGAGGCCATTCTTGGGGAAGCCATGTTCCTTCCGGAGTCTCTCCTTTGCTTTGTAAGGGAGGGCACAGAACCAGACAGTAGTTCAGGTCCCTTCCAGCTCAGACAGAATATCCCTGAGGACACAATGGTCATGTGCTCAGCTGCTAATGGAGTGGTCAGGGGTTCGAACCCACCAGGTCACTCTGCAGAAGAAATGATCTGAACATATGCTTTTGGGTGGGCTCTATATTACAGCCCACAAGACTCGATGGGGGCAGTCCTCCTATGATACAGGGCCACCGTGAATCCGATGCCATATCTTAGGGTATGGACGGGATGTCATACAGCAACCACCCACAGCTTGGACAGCCTGGGACTCTGTCGGGCCCCAAGTAGATAAAACAAGATGCACAAACCACTCCACACACAGCCCTGATGGTGGGCTGACAGCGTGCTTGCTCTCCCACATAACTCCCCTGCCCACTTGGCTCAGGAACTTAACATAGATGTCCCTTCCTCGTGGGATCATCGCCCCCAGATATTTACTTTTCCAAACCTCTTGGGGTGGGCAGGTGAAAGTGACTCAGAGCTTCAGGGTTGTGGAAAGCAGATGTTTTCCTTCAACAGGAAATCTGGAGGGCTGTTTTCTTTGACTCCTGTCACCTCTGGAGTTTTTATAGAGACATACATACAGATGGTCTAGTTATTCTGACACCCAAATTCCTCACAACAGCCTCCTCCCTGCATTGACATATGAGGTGGAAGTTGCAATGGATTGATTTTGTGTTTTTGTTGTTTAGCTGTAAGGTGTGAGAGATCACATAGTGAATGTATTCGGAAAGGGATAAATCTCCACCTTCCGCAATGAAACAGGATTTACTGTCCTGGCTTTCTCAAAAGGAGCTGGGTGCTGCTGTGGTTTGGGATTGGGCTGCTAGGAGGTTCACTCATCATCTGATGCACAGGGAAAACATGAGGCTGCCGGCTCCCGTAAAGACGCTTAGTCTGGGGAACCTGCAAAGCAGCGGTTCTCAACCTGTGGGTCACGACCCCTTTGGAAGTCGAATGATCCTTTCACAAAGGTCGCCCAATTCACAACAGTAGCAAAATTACAGTTATGAAGTAGCAACGAAAATAATTTTATGGTTGGGGGGTCACCATATCATGAGGAACTGCATTAGAGGGTCGTGGACTTAAGAAGGTCGAGAACCGAACCGCTGCTCTAAATGGTCTCTGTGAGCCAGAACGGACTCGACGGCAGTGGCGCTGGGTGGGGTGGGAGGGGGGAAGTTCTTGAAATGGGCCTGGAGGAGGCGCGGCTTCTTAAAAATGGGAAGACGTTACACAAAGCATCCATCAGAACAAAGGCCAGTTGAGTTGCTCTGGAGTTGTTTCTGACTCGTAGTGACCCCCTGGCTGTCAGAATAGCATTATGCTATACAACATTCTCAGTGGCTGATTTTTTTTTGGAAGTGGACCAGGCCTTTCTCCTGAGGCACCTCTGTGCGCATTTGATCCTTCCAGCTAGTAGCAGAACATGAATCATTGACACCACAATAGCAGCAGCACACTCTGACTTTCTATTGAGTAGCCATTGAACCTGGACTATGTGAAGCCCTAACTCTCTTCACCTTGATCACATAGTCCCTCACAAACCTGTGTCCCCTGGAGCAGAGTGTCATGTTGAAAATAAGCAGTTCTGGAGTCAGAGATCTGGGTTCAAACCCCAGCTCTGAGCCTCATACCTGCAGTAAGTAGCTGAACAAGCTGCAGCCTCAGCTTCCTCATCTGTAAAACGGGGAGCAGATGACCTCATACAGATGCTGTTCTTAGAAGAGATGAGTGCTATAAAGGGCTATCACCATGCCTGGCACATTGCTGGTATTCCACAAAGCGCCGCTGTTCCTATTCCTACTGAACTAGGGGAGAGCTGCTTTCTTTTATCCTGGTGGTGTGGCCAGCCAGGTCTGGGGCATGTTCTGTTTTCTCCTTACTGGATCCTGGCCAGTCCTGCCCTGTGGAGGGGCTGATCTGATGGGAGGGAGCATGCCCAGGAGAGAGAGGGGGCTCTAGAGACCTAAAGCAGGAGCAGGAGAAGCAGACATTTGGCGTAGATGTAACACACCAGCCATTAAAATGATAAATGAGGTGACACCGTTGAAACACCTGACGACTAGAATATTCTATCCAGGCCTGGCTCTAATTTATCCCCCTCACGCCTAGCAGAATATTTGTCACCTGTGAATACTCAATAAACTCTGGTAAGTAAATGAGGAGAGAATGCTCACAAAATAATATGAACTGAAAAAATTAGAACGGAATTGCAGGCACATGAGGATTGTAGCTAGGTAAAAGCTCCATTTATGTGCATGCATGGAGACATATGTAGCATTGAGGGCAACATCTCATTTCCTTTCTCTTTTAAGATTCTGAATAATAAGGTTCTTTTAGTAATAAAAATTCTAGAAATCGAGCAAGTATTGTATAAGGAAACATGGTGAGGCGACGCCAGGAATGTCAGAGTCGAACTCTGCTCCCCAGGGTTTTCAGAATGAGATCTCCAGGCCTCTCTTCCGAGGTGCCTTTGGGTAGACTTGAACCTCCAAATTTCAGTTAATGTGTTAACGAGTGGTGAGATTAAAATACTTTAACAACTGGTTCATTACCCTAATGACGGTTTTAAGTATATAAAAAAAGACGGGCTGAAAGATAGTTTATTATTTCATACAGTTAATACTTCAATAAGAAGATGCATGAGGATGACATCCCTGCACGGAGCTGCTAAGGCACAGAGAGGATGGTAGGGCTGACAACAGCTCAAGCCATGCTGTGCCCTCGCTGGAGCATGCCAAGATAGAGGACAATACTGGGGACACACGGCAGGGGGTGAGTCCCGGCTGACACTCCCCTCCCCCACAGTGGAGTGAACCAAGAAGGGAACATAACAGATCCGCAACAGGAGAAAAGCCAAGTCACAAAGCCCCTGAGGAGCCTCAAAATAGACTTCTGGCTAGGAGGGGCAGTTCCCAGAACCCTCCAGGACCAGTGAAGAGATAGTCATAAAGGTCAGCGAACAGACCTGGAACTATGTACGCTTTTTCTTTCTTCTTGCTAGCACTTTTTTCTATTTTTATTCAATCTTTAGTATTCTTTTTGTTTTGTCTTCGTCGTTGTTGTTTTGTGTAACTATATAAGATGGGCATGGGAAGCAAGCACAAGGAGAAAGCAACGGGACTTGTGGGGAGGAGAGGACGCCACAGACAGGACACAACTAGGGCGTTAAAATCAGCAACGAGGAGGACGTCGAGATCCTGGGGGGTTGGGGTAATGGCAACCTAGCTGAGAGAAATCACTAAGAGGCAGAAGAAGGGCGAGTGTGATGGTGGGGCAGGAGGAAGATAAGGAGGAAGATACACATTTTTATATGGCAAGCATTGAGGAAGTGGAGACTTTGGGCCTCTGTTTAAGGCCTCCCTCAACACAAGAACACGTTGTTCTAATAACCTGGCATTCTGTGATGGTCACCCTCCCAACATGATCACTGAAGACAAACTGGGTGCATAAGCAAATGTGGTGAAGAAAGCAGATGGTGCCTAACCATCAAAAGATACAGCACTTGGGGTCTTAAAGGCTTGAAGTTAAACGAGCGGCCATATAGCAGAGAAGCAACAAGCCCAAATCGAAGAAGCACACCAGCCTGTGTAATCATGAGGT